TCCAATGCAAGATTTGAACTTGGATCTGCCTCCCATGCTGCAGCTCTCGCTTCCCCGACCCAAGATGACACCCCTCAGATGGGGCTTGCTTTTTCAAGCTTTCTTTCTAACCCATTCCAGGAACAATGGCCCCTTTCCAGCCCTCCCCACTTCCGTGGAATTTATGGATCCCCAGCTGGTCCTTCCCGTCCTCAGGCTGGAGTCTTCCCAAGTGCTTTGCTGCCCAATAGCAAAATGGCCTCAGGTTGTCAGGGCTGTGGGGACCTCTCCCTCCAAGGTTATCTCCTGCTACTGAGACCCCCAAGGTCCCAGCAGCAACCGCACCCATGGCTTGGCTGCTTCCACACTTTGGGGGTGCTCACCTGCATTTTCTCCAGCATCTCGAAAAACTCCGCCGACTGAAAGACACAAAGTGGGGAGGGAGAGAAAGACGGGAGTCAGAGCCTCCTCTTCACCAACTGCCTGGAAGCTAAGCCCAGGGCTTCCCCAGGGAGGACATTCATTTGAGTCCAGAGAGAAGATAATTTGATTTTGCCTTGCAGAACTGGAGGGCCAGAACACCCCATTCAACAAAAGAGAAAATTAAACAGGCCTGGGCTGGCCACTGGCCCTGGGGAGAGAGCAGACACTCCGTCTCTGTGGGGGAAGGGGCAGGGGGACCCCTGGGAAAAGCCACATTCCCCCAAACACCAATGGAGACTCGGCCTCCACCAGGATTCATGTTTGGGATGTTTTCAACCCAACAGTGAAGCCAAAATGTCCAACACACGTAGTTTTCTGACATCTGTGGCAACAAAGACTCTCTGTCTCCTACAAAATCTCACTCAGTACCCCAACAGAGAGCCAGTATATACAGCCACTCCAGTCAGGGCAGCCAAAGAGGCTGGAGCCTCTTTGTGCCCCCTGGGCCACCCTGGCCCCTGCCACACGGCACTGTTTTGGGACCCTAGAGCTTGTGAAACGCAGCCTGAAACCCATTCATCTGAGCCTCCAGCTCATGGATGGATTATTTTAAAAATATCAAACTGCAGCTGTTCAAACCTTTAACCTCCTCCACTGACCCCTCTGTAAACTCCAGGTAAAGGTGTAAAGGAGAACAAGGAGGTGGAATGCACAGCTGAGTGCTGGAAGCTTCACCCTGATGAAAAACGTGTTCCTGTCCCTCCAAAGTCCCCCACTTCCCACCCCAGGAAAACAGCCCTAATTTCTTTTTTTTTT